AGAACGCTGTATCTCGCTAAATGACATTGTTCTTTAAGGTTTCACGATGCTTGCATGCGATTTAACGAGAATATCACAATATAGCAGTTTCGCACTTGTAACAGGTAGAACACGCAGTATTTGGCTTGTTCATGCCGTTTTGTGTGCTTTCACAACATTTCACCTATCGCAGTTTAATACTCGCTATAAAACAACACTATCTCGTTAGATGACGTCGTTTTGGTAGTTTCACGACGCTACCTAGCTTAAACTAACCTAACCTAACCTAACCTTCGCACTTCTATCGTTAGAAAACGTTTTACTCGCCACTTTACAATGTTTTCTACAAGATTACGACGGTTTCATGCGCTTTCACATTAGATATCGTAGTTCCCGACTTGTAATGTTGAAAAACACTACATCTCACTAAGTGACATTGTTTAATGCGGTTTTACGACGGTTGATATGTCAACCTAACCTAACATTCGCACTTGTATCTAAAGACGCTCAATTACACTGTTTCGTTCACAATTACGATATTTGCATAGACCTCACAGTTTCTCACCAACTTATTGCAGTACAGAACGCTGTATCTCGCTAAATGACATCGTTCTTTAAGGTTCACGATGCTTGCATGCGCTTTACCGAGAATATCACAATATAGCAGTTTCGCACTTGTAACGGTACAACACGCAGTATTTGGCTTGTTCATGCCGTTTTGTGTGCTTTCACAACATTTCACCTATCGCAGTTTCGTACTCGCAATAAAACAACACTATCTCGTTAGATGACGTCGTTTTTGGTGGTTTCACGACGCTACCTAGCTTAACTAACATAACTCAACCTAACATAACCTTCGCACTTCTATCGTTAGAAAACGTTTTACTCGCCACTTTACATTGCTTTTCTACAAGCATTACGACGGTTTCATGCGCTTTCACATTAGATATCGTAGTTCCCGACTTGTAATGGTGAAAAACACTGCATCTCACTAAGTGACATTGTTTAATGCGGTTTTACGACGGTTGATATGTCAACCTAACCTAACATTCGCACTTGTATCTAAAGACGCTCAATTACACTGTTTCGTTCACAATTACGATATTTGCTTGACCTCACAGTTTTCTCACCAACTTATTACAGTACAGAACGCTGTATCTCGCTAAATGACATCGTTCTTTAAGGTTTCACGATACTTGCATGCGCTTTACCGAGAATGTCACAACATAGCACTTTCGCACTTGTAACGGTACAACACGCAGTATTTGGCTTGTTCATGCCGTTTTGTGTGCTTTCACAACATTTACCTATCGCAGTTTCGTACTCGCAATAAAACAACACTATCTCGTTAGATGACGTCGTTTTTGGTGGTTTCACGACGCTACCTAGCTTAAACTAACATAACTCAACTAACCTAACCTTCGCACTTCTATCGTTAGAAAACGTTTTACTCGCTACTTTACATGCTTTTCTACAACATTACGACGGTTTCATAGCGCTTTCACATTAGATATCGCAGTTCCCAACTTGTAAAGGTGAAAAACACTGCATCTCACTAAGTGACATTGTTTATTGCGGTTTTACGCGGTTCATACCTTAACCTAACGTAACCTAACCTAACCTAACCCAACCTAACCTAACATAACCTAACCTAACCTAACCTAACCAAACCTAACCTAACCTAACGTAACTACCTAACCTAACCTAACGACGTTTGCAAGTGCTTTCACATTAGATATCGCAGTTCCCAACTTGTAATGGTGAAAAACACTGCATCTCACTAAGTGACATTGTTTAATGCGGTTTTACGACGGTTCATATCTTAACCTAACCTAACATTCGCACTTGTATTAAAAAACGCTCTATTACACTGTTTCGTTCACAATTAGGATATTTGCATAACCTCACAGGTTTTCACCAACTTATTGCAGTACAGAACGCTGTATCTCGCTAAATGACATCGTTCTTTAAGGTTTCACGATGCTTGCATGCGCTTTAACGAGAATATCACAACATAGCAGTTTCGCACTTGTAACGGTACAACACGCAGTATTTGGCTTGTTCATGCCGTTTTGTGTGCTTTCACAACATTTCACCTATCGCAGTTTCGTACTCGCAATAAAACAACACTATCTCGTTAGATGACGTTGTTTTTGGTAGTTTCACGACGCTACCTAGCTTAAACTAACATACTAACCTAACATGACCTTCGCACTTCTATCGTTAGAAAACGTTTTACTCGCTACTTTACATTGCTTTCTACAACATTACGACGGTTTCAAGCGCTTTCACATTAGATATCACAGTTCCCAACTTGTAAAGGTGAAAAACACTGCATCTCACTAAGTGACATTGTTAATGCGGTTTTACGACGGTTCATACCTTAACCTAACCTAACCTAACCTAACCTAACCTTAACCTAATCCTAACCTAACCTAACCCAACCCAACCCTAACCTAACCTAACCTAACCTAAACTAACCTAACCCAACCTAACCTAACCTAACCTAACCTAACCCAACCTAACCCAACCCAACCCAACCTAACCTAACCTAAGCTAACTAACCTAACCTAACCAAACCTAGCCTAACCTAACTTAACCTAACCTAACGTAACCTAACCTAACCATATCTAACGTAACCTAACCTTACCTGACCTAACCTAACCTAACGTAACCTAACCTAACCTCATGATGATACGGGGCGCGAAAAAAACGACACAACAGAGAAGAAGTACACAGACGACATCATGAACCAGCACCAACTCGCCCACTTTCACTTTACTAACCTAACCTAACATAACCTACGAACCTAACCTAACCTAACTGTAACCTAACCTAACTTAACCCAACCTAACCAACCAACCCACCCAACACACCCACCCAACCTAACCTAACCTAACCTAACCTTACCTAACCAAATTATCCTTACCTAACCTAACCTAATCTAAGCTAACCTAACGTAACCGTAACCTAACGTAACCTAACCTAACCTAACCTAACCCAACCTAACCTAACCTAACCTAACCTAACCCACACTCAACCCAACCTAACCTAATCTAACCTAACCTAACCTAACCTAACCTAACCAACCTAACCTAACCTAACCTAACCTAACCTAACGACGGTTGCAAGCGCTTTCACATTAGATATCGCAGTTCCCCACTTTTAATGGTGAAAAACACTGCATCTCAGTAATTGACATTGTTTAATGCGGTTTTACGACGGTTCATATCTTAACCTAACCTAACATTCGCACTTGTATCTAAAAACGCTCTATTACACTGTTTGTTCACAATTACGATATTTGCATAACCTCACAGTTTTTCACCAACTTATTGCAGTACAGAACGCTGTATCTCGCTAAATGACATTGTTCTTTAAGGTTTCCACGATGCTTGCATGCGATTTAACGAGAATATCACAATATAGCAGTTTCGCACTTGTAACGGTAGAACACGCAGTATTTGGCTTGTTCATGCCGTTTTGTGTGCTTCACAACATTTCACCTATCGCAGTTTAATACTCGCTAATAAAACAACACTATCTCGTTAGATGACGTCGTTTTTGGTAGTTTCACGACGCTACCTAGCTTAACTAACCTAACCTAACCTAACCTTCGCACTTCTATCGTTAGAAAACGTTTTAATCGCCACTTTATAATGTTTTCTACAAGATTACGACGGTTTCATGCGCTTTCACATTAGATATCGTAGTTCCCGACTTGTAATGTTGAAAAACACTACATCTCACTAAGTGACATTGTTTAATGCGGTTTTACGACGGTTGATATGTCAACCTAACCTAACATTCGCACTTGTATCTAAAGACGCTCAATTACACTGTTTCGTTCACAATTAACCTAACGACGTTGCAAGCGCTTTCACATTAGATATCGCAGTTCCCGACTTGTAATGGTGAAAAACACTGCATCTCACTAAGTGACATTGTTTAATGCGGTTTTACGATGGTTCATATCTTAACCTAACCTAACATTCGTACTTGTATTGAAAACGCTCTATTACACTGTTTCGTTCACAATTACGATATTTGCATAACCTCACAGTTTTTCACCAACTTATTGCAGTACAGAACGCTGTATCTCGCTAAATGACATTGTTCTTTAAGGTTTCACGATGCTTGCATGCGCTTTAACGAGAACATCACAATATAGCAGTTTCGCACTTGTAACGGTAGAACACGCAGTATTTGGCTTGTTCATGCCGTTTTGTGTGCATTCACAACATTTCACCTATCGCAGTTTAATACTCGCAATAAAACAACACTATCTCGTTAGATGACGTCGTTTTTGGTAGTTTCACGACGCTACCTAGCTTAAACTAACCTAACCTAACCTAACCTTCGCACTTCTATCGTTAGAAAACGTTTTACTCGCAATTTTACAATGTTTTCTACAAGATTACGACGGTTTCATGCGCTTTCACATTAGATATCGTAGTTCCCGACTTGTAATGTTGAAAAACACTACATCTCACTAAGTGACATTGTTTAATGCGGTTTTACGACGGTTGATATCTCAACCTAACCTAACATTCGCACTTGTATCTAAATACGCTCAATTACACTGTTTCGTTCACAATTACGATATTTGCTTGACCTCACAGTTTCTCACCAACTTATTACAGTACAGAACGCTGTATCTCGCTAGATGACATCGTTCTTTAAGGTTTCACGATGCTTGCATGCGCTTTAACGAGAATATCACAATATAGCAGTTTCGCACTTGTAACGGTAGAACACGCAGTATTTGGCTTGTTCATGCGGTTTTGTGTGCATTCACAACATTTCACCTATCGCAGTTTAATACTCGCAATAAAACAACACTATCTCGTTAGATGACGTCGTTTTTGGTAGTTTCACGACGCTACCTAGCTTAAACTAACCTAACCTAACCTAACCTTCGCACTTCTATCGTTAGAAAACGTTTTACTCGCAATTTTACAATGTTTTCTACAAGATTACGACGGTTTCATGCGCTTTCACTTTAGATAGAGTGGGCACGGCGGCGTCGTAAAGATGCAGCCTTCAAACCCGTTCCTGTTTATCCCGCAGATTGGAACCCTGCTGCTTCTTCTAGGCCTTTCTGCAGCATGTGCGGAGCGACAACCAATGCTTCGACCTACTTTCAACGGCGATATGGATCTGCTGATAAACCCAGCCTCAACTGACGAACGCTACCGGTCCTTCAACGATGGCGCTGGTGTTACATCGTCAGAGCCTCTGGGATCACCGATGACGTCACCATGTAACGATCCTTTAAAAGACAGCGCTTACGGCACAATCGGCAGTGGGCACGGCGGCGTCGTAAAGATGCAGCCTTCAAACCCGTTCCTGTTTATCCCGCAGATTGGAACCCTGCTGCTTCTTCTAGGCCTTTCTGCAGCATGTGCGGAGCGACAACCAATGCTTCGACCTACTTTCAACGGCGATATGGATCTGCTGATAAACCCAGCCTCAACTGACGAACGCTACCGGTCCTTCAACGATGGCGCTGGTGTTACATCGTCAGAGCCTCTGGGATCACCGATGACGTCACCATGTAACGATCCTTTAAAAGACAGCGCTTACGGCACAATCGGCAGTGGGCACGGCGGCGTCGTAAAGATGCAGCCTTCAAACCCGTTCCTGTTTATCCCGCAGGTGAGCAGACGCTTTGACAAGTCTTTTCGCAGTAACGATGTCTGCCTAATTCTGCTGCCGTGCCCACGGTCGCTTCGTGAAGCCTTTTGTAAACTGATTGTTTCCTTGCGCTTGTTGCTACTGTTGAGCGGAGATGTTGAGTTGAACCCAGGCCCTGCACTAGACGCCATAGCCGAACAGCTAAAGCAAATTGCAGGAGACATACAAGATATTAAGAAAGAAAAATCCGCAACAAACACCAGACTTGACGCGATTGACAAAAAACTTGAAAAGATAACTGGCCTTGAAAAACAGGTCACTGAGTGCAATAAACGAATATCTAACTTAGAAAAAAACCTAAAGGCTATGCAAATGAAAGTGGATGATCTAGAAAACCGGAGCCGTCGGTCCAACCTTGTCATTTACGGTGCTGAAGAACAACAAAATGAATCGCCAGACATGCTTGTCGAGTTGGTCGAAAAGAAGATTTTAGATGGTGTGCTACAGATAAAAACCAAGGGAATCGAAATAATCCACCGTCTAGGAAAAAAGAAGCCAGTTGGTATATCTAGACCCAGACCCATTATTCTAAGACTACTCGATCATCGAGACAAAGTTTCAATCCTCAGACAGTGTTCAAAGCTGAAGGGCTCAGGTTTCTCTATCAGTGAAGACTTTTCTCGTAATACTCGGGACATTAGAAAGAAACTGTGGGATCGAACGAAAGAACACCGGGACAGGCAAGAAAGGGTGTCACTGGTGCGCGATAAAGTGCGAATCAACGGTCAACTTTTTGCTTGGGATAGTGAACGAGAAGATATATATGCAGTGAAAAAAAACGAAGTTGGCATAGAAAAAAGAGTCACTCGAAGTCGACAGAAGTAACCCTGTTGAATGTGAACGCACGTAGTCTTGTAAATAAAGTAGATCAATTCGAAGCTCTCCTTCTAGAAATTAAACCTGACATAGTTGCTGTCACGGAAACATGGCTGTACTCGGACATCCTAGACCATGAGGTCACGCCGCCAGGTTATGTGATTGTGCGCAAAGATAGAGAGACTAGAGGAGGGGGCGTGGCACTTTTTTTCAAGAAGGAATTGCGCTACTCTGTCTTACCGGGCAACCCTAGCATTGAAGCGGTATGGTGCAAAGTGCAGCTGCAAAGGGGCTGTGTATTTGTTGGAGTTATTTACCGACCACCTAATGCTGAGACAAGTTATCTGGAACTTCTTCTGGATTATATGCACGATCACGTGACGGGTGGTATGATCATCATGGCTGGAGATCTCAATCTGCCTGAAATAGAATGGTCATCAAAAAAAGTGCGAAGTGCTGCAAATGACGTCATATTAGATATGTTGTTCAATTTTAACCTCGAACAACTGGTGCGCGTCCCCACACGTGTACAGGGCGTATCCAGCTCTATTCTAGATGTTGTGCTCGTTAGTAATCATTTTCCAGAAGACCAGGCGCGCATCGAAATCTTAGACGGAATATCTGATCACAACTCAGTCCTATGCACACTGCCTCTATCTGGTCTTTCTAGAATCCATAGCCCCGATAGACACGTTCTTGCCTTTAACAGAGCAGACGACGCTGCAATAATAACATATCTTAATCACGAATTCCTTGCCTTCTATGATCTTTGCATGGACAAAAATTTATCAATGGATCACATATGGTTACAATTCAAGGCACGTGTCATTCATTGCATTGAGAACTTTGTCCCCACACAGCGAAAAATTACAAGAAAGCATAATGCCTGGATCACACGTGACATAATTCATATAAAACGTAAAATCAGTAGGCTGAGGAAAGCTAGGAGGTCTAGCTCACGAGCTGGCTACACCGCTCAGATCGCCACTTTATCAAGAACACTGAAAAGCAAAGTACGCTCTTCAAAAATTCACTATTTTGGTACCACGCTAGCAAAATTCATCAAAACCTCGCCAGGAAAATTTTGGCGCTATGTAAGTGGCAAACACAGTGGCCAAAACGCCTCCCCCTCGATAGACACTAAAGATAAGGCAGACAATTTCAACCGCTACTTTCAGTCCGTCTTTACGATCGATAATGGGCTAGTGCATCATCCCGAGATTAGGCCACCCACTGACAAGAAGTTATCTAAAACTCCGGAAATAACTGAAAGCGGTATACTAAATCTGCTGTTAAACCTCGATGATAAAAAAAGTTGTGGTCCAGATGGGATACCGAACGCTTTTCTCAAACGGTATGCGGAACCGGTTAGTAAGTACCTGCGCTTACTATTTACAAAATCTATTCAAGATTCGCAGATTCCCTCTGAATGGAAACTTGCAAAAATAATCCCTGTGCATAAATCTGGGGACAAATCGACTCCATCAAACTACAGGCCCATTTCCTTAACTTGCACTAGCTGTAAGCTACTCGAGCACATTATCCTTAAATTCATTACAAAGTTTGTCGAAGAAAATAACCTATTACACCCCAACCAACACGGTTTTCGGAGAGGCCTATCGACCGTAACGCAACTAGCTGAAACAATTCACGATCTGGCCGAAGCCATTAATCAACACTCCCAAATTGATATAATCTTTATGGATTTTTCAAAAGCGTTCGACCGGGTTTCCCATGAAAAGCTAGTTTTCCAGCTGGTTTGCAAACTCGGGGATGGGCCAGTGACCCGTTGGATATCCAACTATTTGTCCGGTCGCCAACAATTTGTACACTGCAGTGATCACGTCTCTGACACATTAAACGTTACGTCCGGTGTTCCTCAGGGATCCGTCTTGGCACCGATATTATTTCTTCTATTCATAAACGATCTAACAGTCAACATTAACGCAAACATAAGGCTTTTTGCAGACGACTGCATATTGTACAAACAGGTTAAAAGCTCCAGAGACCAAACTGAACTGAACGATGCCCTGAACGACGTTGTACGATGGTGTTCTAACTGGCAAATGGTGATTAATTCTGATAAAACAGTCGCCATGCAAGTAACAAAAAAGAAATCACGTCTACCTTTCCATTACGGTTACAACAGCATCGTGCTACGAAATGTAAGCCAGTATAAATATCTTGGTGTGACTATAACTTCCGATCTCAGTTGGACAGTACACCTAGAAGACATAGCCGAGAAAGCCTTAAAAAAATTATTCTTCCTTAAGCGGACGCTGCGCCACGCTGACCGCGACACTAAGCTTCTAGCATACGTCACACTTGTCAGACCAATCTTGGAGTATGCGAGCATAATCTGGTTTCCATTCACGGATAGTGGTATCAGCACGCTTGAAAGAGTGCAGCGCAAAGCGATTAGATTTATTTTTAACCGGTATCGTCGCCTCGACTCCCCAACACAATTACTACGCCACGCAGATTTGCCGACACTCGAAAGTCGAGCAAAAATTCATCGCCTAAAGTTCTTATACCTGTTATTGCACAACTGTCTTAAAATAGACCACGCTAAATACGTGAAAACCAAGACAACAAGGCAAACACGTCACACACATGATCACACACTCCAAGAGTACTCTTGCAACAATAACACATTCTATTATTCTTTTTTTCCTAGATGCATTCGAGAATGGAATGCTCTTGACCGACTTATAGCCGAACAGCGTACAGTTGATGACTTTCTAGCAATGTTGCAAAATACACATAGCACTTAATCATAACGCTGATTACATAGTATGTATTGTATTTCCATTTCCTTGTGTACTTCCTTGAATTGACTTGCTTGCCAACATTTGTATTTGCACCAACTTTTACAGCTATGATTTATTATCCTTCTTTTCTTTTCTACGGGTGTAAAATATGTTTAATGCGCCCACTACCACTTTAACTCGTACATGCAGCCTCCTTAATTTGAACTTGTTGAGAAAGGCTGCTCGGTCCAAAATTGATTGTTACTATTGATGTGAATGTTTTCTGTTTTTCTTTTGTTCCCCTTCGCTCCCACTCCTGTAATAACCCTGCAAAGGGTTAACAGTATGTGAAAATAAATAAATAAATCGTAGTTCCCGACTTGTAATGTTGAAAAACACTACATCTCACTAAGTGACATTGTTTAATGCGGTTTCACGACGGTTGATATCTCAACCTAACCTAACATTCGCACTTGTATCTAAATACGCTCAATTACACTGTTTCGTTCACAATTACGATATTTGCTTGACCTCACAGTTTCTCACCAACTTATTACAGTACAGAACGCTGTATCTCGCTAGATGACATCGTTCTTTAAGGTTTCACGATACTTGCATGCGCTTTAACGAGAATATCACAATAAAGCAGTTTCGCACTTGTAACGGCACAAGACGCAGTATCTGGCTAGTTCATGCCATTTTGTGTGCTTTCCCAATATTTCACCTATCGCAGTTTCGTACTCGCAATAAAACAACACTATCTCGTTAGATGACATCGTTTTTGGTGGTTTCACGACGCTACCTAGCTCAATCTAACCAAACCTTCGCACTTCTATCGTTAGAAAACGTTTTATTCGCTACTTTACAATGTTTTCTACAAGATTACGACGGTTTCATGCGCTTTCACATTAGATATCGCAGTTCCCGACTTGTAATGGTGGAAAACACAGCATCTCACTAAGTGACATTGTTTAATGTGGTTTTAGCGCGGTTCATATCTTAACCTAACCTAACCTTACCTAACCCAACCTAACCTAACCTAACCTAACCAAACCTTACCTAACATACCCTAACCTAACCTAACCTAACCTAACCTAACCAAACCTAACCTAACCTAACCTAACCTAACCTAACCTAACCTAACCTAACGACGTTTGCAAGCGCTTTCACATTAGATATCGCAGTTCGCGACTTGTAATGGTGAAAACACTGCATCTCACTAAGTGACATTGTTTAATGCGGTTTTACGACGGTTCATACCTTAACCTAACCTAACCTAACCTAACCTTACCTAACCTAACCTAACCTAACCCAACCCAACTTAACCTAACCTAACCTAACCTAACCTAAACTAACCTAACCCAACCTAACCTAACCTAACCTAACCTAACCCAAC